ATGCCATGGTAAATATCCCCGCACCTTGATCTGGGGACGAGGCCAGAGAGGATGGCAACAGATCCACTTGAGGCCAGGGAGTTTGAAAAACAGGCCCTGTGCGCAACAGGTGAAACTCAGTTTACGAAAAGACAAAAATTACCGCAGGGCTGGTGGCAGGCGTGCCTGTTAACTCCAGCACTCGGGAGGACTTGAGCGCCCATGAGAATCATATTGGCCGTGGCAGGTGGAGTTACAGCAAGTGAGATTTGTACCAGCTGCCATTCGGCAGCCCTGGGCCAACACGAGCTAGACCATCCGGAGCCTGGGCAACGGACGTGAGATGCCTGTCGTCAAAAATAAATAAATAAATAAAATAAGCAAAGAATAAAGTGAGCCTAACGTTACATGCTGGGGGCTACTAAATACCCTAGGGCGATGGGTTGACAGGTGCGAGCAAACCACCCGTGGCCCAGATGTTTATCTGTGTAACAAACCTCTTCAAGCAACATCCTGCACATGTATCCTGAGAACTTAAAATGAAAAATTAAAAGAAGATGCTAATTTGGTAATAATTTCTCTCCCGTCCCAGTCTGTCTATCCTAAAGAAGCCATAGCTTAGGAGTGAATTTAAATATATAAAATTTGGCAACTTAATAATTGAAGTGTGATTAGAGCAGTTTCCTCCTCTCACCACCCGATAGTTCTAATTTCCATAGTGAGGCCAATGGTTACATAGATGATCAGTCTGTTGTAAATTGCCTTTGTAGGCTCAATACAAGTTTAAGGAAAATAACCTGATCGCAAATTGTCGAATAAGGATAGACGTCCCTAGGATTGGCAAGGGAGAACCTATCCTGTGCTCGCAGGATCGCTGGCCAGGTTGCCTGCATTGCTGTGCTGAGGGAAATGTTGGATCTTTTCGCTGGACTGCGTTCTGAGAGGTGGATAGTAATGTTGCCCTGGCAGCAGGAGGTAGCACATAAGCTAGGCCATAGACGCATTTCTGCCAGCTGTAGTGGTTGTTCTTGATTATTTTTATTGCTTAATCTATTTAGTTCTTCCACCAATTTACTTTAGGGCTCATTTATTATTTTAGGCCATACATTTATCTATAAGACTATAATATTTTAATGGAAAATACACAGCTGAATGTAATATGATATTCTAGTTTTGTTTAGGTTTTTTTTTTTATTTTTTTTTGAGACAGGGTCTTGCTCTGTTGCCTAGGTTGGAGTTCAGTGGCATAATCACAGCTTACTGCAGCCTCAACCTCCCAGGCTCAAATGATCCTTCCACCTCAGCTCCCCTAGTAGCTGAGACTACAGGTAGGTGCCATCACACTCAGCTAATTTTTGTGTTTTTTTGTAGAGATAAGGTTTCACCATGTTGCTCAGGTTGGCCTCAAAGTCCCTGACTCAATCAATCCACCCGCCTTGGCCTCCCAAAATGCTGGGAGTACTACCGTGAGCCACTGTGCCCAGCCTGGTCTTTTTAAAATAAATATTTTATTTTTTATTTGAAGATGTAGTTTCATATAAGAGCCAAGCGAGATACTGATATTTTATCATACAATTTTCTTTTCTTTCTTTCTTTTTTTTTTTTTTTAGGACGAAGTCTCGCTCTGCTGCCAGGCTGGAGTGCGGTGGCGCAATCTCAGCTCACTGCAACCTCTGCCTCCCTGGTTCAAGCAATTATCCTGCCTCAGCCTCCTGAGTAGCTGGGACTATAGGCGTGCACCGCCATGCCCGGCTAATTTTTGTATTTTTAGTAGAGACAGGACAATTTTCAATAAGAGCTTTGTGTTCTACATGGATGAGTTTTGAGAGTGATAGAGATTTAAGTTTTAATATTTGTGATATATTCTTATAAGTGGGAACTAAACATTTATGCTTATGTCCATCTACACATGGTCTTTTCTTAAAAATATAATTATTTTATGATTTTCCCCCATCTTTAGCCTTTAAATAATTATTTTTGTTCATATTGCGTATTTGCTATAGGTATGATACTTATTTATTATCTCTAACAAAGGAATCGAACGTGATCCTTCTTGTGCTTCTAATGTTCTGTTTTCTTATAAACTTTGTTTTGATATTTTTCAGACTATAGTCATGTCTTAGATACTCAGGTCCCAAATCTGCATGTGTTCCTCTTGTTTGTAATCAGCAGTGCTGGTTGGTGTTCCTGGGCACAAATCACAGGGCTGCTCGATGTCACACATTTCCTTGTTTGTGTATTTCCGTGATCAATATCAGCAACAGCACAGGGAATAGATTCTCTTCCACCAGCTCATATTTTTCTTAAAGAGCATGTAGGGGTGTGTGTGTGTGTGTGTGTGTGTGTGTGTGTGTGTATTAATTTCTCGCCTTTTACAGCATAATTCAAAATCTAGGTGATATGTTCCAATAGCCGATAAGCATTTCATAGTGGGGTAGGTCAGGTTTACTGTGTAATCCCTTTGATAATGCCTTCTTTTATAAATACATGAGAGAAGTTACAATTGAGTCCTGCTGAGGAAGTAGATCAATAGGTGGCAAGTTGTTTGACCCTTCGAGTCAGAAAGAGAATTTGGTAAATTGTTAGACAGGTTATTGACTGCCCTTTAGAGAGCCAGGGGTTTGGATTCTGTAACTCCTTTCAGCTGGGGCTTGTATTTCACGTATGAGAGGCCTACATTATCATAATCCATTTTTCGCTTTTATGTTATCTATCAGCAGCTCTCGTAAGTCAGCTTTCTGAAGGGCATTCCCCATTTACGTGCTCTAATTCACTTTTAAAAAAATTATAAAATTGATGTTTTGCAACCAGAGGCATTATATGTGAGTTGTTTATGGAGGTGCTGCTACACGGAAGAAGATTAGTGGTAGAATTAAGAACAAGATGATGGCTGTGGAAGGAAATTCATGAATAGACATCGCATCAATGCTACAGGAAGATAGGCTCAAGAAGCATGTTAGACCCCAAAATCCTGGAAGAATGTCAGGCTTATAGTCATTATAATTATGCCTTTGGCTGATGTTGAATAGTGTTAATGGTACACTACCAAATTTTTACTTAAGTGGCTCGATTAGGTAGAAAATGCCCAGATTGACCCCAATATGTAAAAAAGATATTATCTTAAAATGTCTCTACCTATTAAACGGTGATTGTTCTGGTACTGCTTAAATGGGAAATCTGTGGAAATATGTAGAATTGTTGCATTTATGTTATCATGAGACTTAAAACATTTAATGGGATAATTTCTTCATTTATACAATGTTACACACCTGAAATAATAACCCAATTCGGATTATTTTTGTAAATTATTAATTGCTTATACCATTTCCTAGGACATTTCATTCGTTTGAGTTTTTAAAAAATTCTTTTTTATTCAAGGGAAAAAATGTTTCGTTTTTCTTGTTATCTCATATAATAGGCTGTTTTGCTTTACAGTTCTGAAACTAACAGACAGAATCTTTTATGTGCAATGAATGTGAGTTTTAAAATCTTCTTATAGGGAATAAAATATGAAGACTAGTGAAGTGAGTATGTGTGTACTCTGTCCTGGAAGAAGTGAGTGAAGGAGGCCCAGGGCTTGGCTTTTGGGGGTTCAGGCCTTCTGCAACTTGGGCTTCCAGTAGGAAAGAAAGAACATTGTAGGAGAGAAACTGCCCAGGTAGCAGAGGCATCTGCAAAAGCCAGTGCCCAACTCCATTTTGTTCCTGCTGCGGCAGCTTGGAGCTGGCTTCAGTTCAGATTTTCTAGGCATTGGAGGAGGTCTTCCTTAAACAAATCTGTTAACATTTTTGTTTTGGGGAGAACACAGCGCCACATAGATGTAAATTCACCAGTTTATATTTCTGCCTGAAGCTGCTGCATCTCGCTGCTCCCCTGGGCCTCCCATGCCAGCAGGAGTAGGCGCGGTCTTGGTCCATCCAATCTTCATCGCTATGCCTGGTTTCTATCCTGTGGTCCTCTGGCTGTTTGTTCCTGTTGTTCCCTCTGCCGGGGAAACCTCTTTGTTTGAGCGTGGGGCTCCTTGGGCTTCTGCAGCTCCGGGCTTTCTCTTCCTGGGGTAGTTGTGGTGGCAGCTTTCTCATGGTGAGCAGGTGATGGCTGACCCCCGTAGGGTTTATCATCATCCTCTCTCTCTCTCTACTTCTGTCTCTCTGCCTCCACCCTACTGACATGCTGTTTCCTTTTCTCACTACTTCTGGGCTTACATGCAGACATCCTCAGTGAAGCTAACTCAGATGGGACAGACGTCCATGAAGAGAGCCAGTGTCACAACAGAGAGAATCGTTCTTTCTTTCTACTACTCTGTTCTCATTCCATATGGTGCACGTGGGCATCATGCTTTTTTCCCACATGGGATCTGTTGGAGGCAGGGTGATGGTCATCAGTGCACACCGCTGTGTCCTAATGGTAATTTGTAGCCAGGCCTGCTTTGATCTTTCAGATGCCATTTTTGATTGGTGAGTGCCATGATGTACAGGTGTTAAGTGGTTTGAATACCACCCCTGCATGGAGACATGACTAGCATCATTGTCACAAATTCCATATTTCGCATATTGGATATCTTTACTCTGTTTGTATTTTATTGCATCACCCAGCAAAAATAGGGAGAGGGTGTTGAAATTTCTCATTATATTGGTGGAATGCCAATTTTCCCATCTTACCAATTTTGCATTCTATGTATTTATATGTATAAGTACGTATTTAAAAAAATTTTTCACTCTTTTTCACTCTTTTTTTTTTTTTTTTTTTGAGACGGAGTCCCCCCTGTTTTTTGGCTGAATTGCAGTGGCCGGATCTCTGCTCACTGCAAGCTCCGCCTCCCGGGTTCACGCCATTCTCCTGCCTCAGCCTCCCGAGTAGCTGGGACTACAGGCGCCTGCCACCTCGCCCGGCTAACTTTTTGTATTTTTAGTAGAGACTGGGTTTCACTGTGTTAGCCAGGATGGTCTCGATCTCCGGACCTCGTGATCCGCCCGTCTCGGCCTCCCAAAGTGCTGGGATTACAGGCTTGAGCCACCGCGCCCGGCCTTAAAAAAATTTTTGAGGCTAATATTAGGTACATTTACACTTAGAATAATACTTTTTTGGTGAATTGAACCATTGAACCTTAATCACTACATAGTGTCTCTATTTTTAACACTTTTATTTTATTTTTGTTTTTATTTTTTGATTTTTTTTGAACTGTAAAGATCAAATTTATTTGGAGAAAACAAAAAACCCACAACCCAAAGGATGGGATTTTATATCTCAAGACATCTCCCAGGTAATAAGTCTACAGATTGTAAGTCATTTTCATAGAAGATATTTTTGTACAAATTTTACATGTATTCATGAGTGGGACATTAATCAATCCCCGTTTCCATTTTAACAGGGGGGCAAGGTAGGGCAGAGGGAAAAACAGTTTTGGATACAACCATTTGGAAGGAGAGTAGACATGAAGAGGCAAACCCTAGCTTTTCATTATCTACAATCAATTTTTTTTTCTTTTAAAAAAAAAACCCTTTCATTGTTCAGTATTTCTTTAAAAGCCCACTTAGCTACTAGCCAATCCACACCAATTATTTAAATTTACTTGGTACACACCTTTGTCCGTGGCTAAATTATGTTCATTATGCCCACTGCTGCAGCACGCATAAACCAACACCCCTACATGGCCGAACAGGGCCTGATCTAGGATTGGTGGGAGAAGGGCTTGCAAATCAAGACCAAGATCGAGGTGTCATTTCTCTGCTAATACTGTCTATGAGGCAGATCCCTACAAAAATGCATATAAAAGCAGGCAAGTTTAGCTACTGTGTTGCAAGAGAAACCAGGACCTTTTTAAATAGTTCTCTTCATTACCATTTATTCTCTCAAGGGAAGCTTAAAAGAAAAAGAAAAATAAAAAAACAACACATTGGTCTGGCCACCTCATAAATCCAACAAGCATTGGTGTGGCATTTCAGTGGAGAAGGAAACTTGGGGGAAAAAACACACCAAGGTTGTAAGAAAGGCTCCCAATTTAACTGTCCCAGTCCCTATTTATCTACCTTTATTCACCACCAAGACCATCCATTATTCTAGAGCACTCTGATCTACAAAAGGGGTCAAAGCGTCAGGAGCAGGCAAGGAGTGAGAACCAAAAGACATCAAGAAACTGATTTGCTTGAGAAAAGCAGCGATTCTTCCTTTCACAGCTCTCCATGGCTGAGAGAGAAAATGCCCAAGAGGTCATCTATGTGACCTAGAGACTGCTTTTTGGGAGGTTAAGAGTAGCATGAAGAACTTAAGATGACAACAAGAGTCTAAATTTTTAAAGTTTCAAGGTTTCAACAGAATGTGGATATATTTGAACTTTCAAAAAACACAGTGTTTAGAAAGGGTAAAACCAGGACACACAAAACATTGGGAGTTACCACGACCCCCAAGTGCTTCCGGCTCCGGGAAATAACCATTCATGTGTTTGCTGGAGGTCACAATTTTCCCCTATTGCCTGGTGCAAAATGACTCATCACCTCCCCAAAGCTTCTTTTCAAACCATGATTTTCCCATTTATTTTAGTCCAATGCAGTCCTATTCTTTATGGCTTGTAGACTCACTCCCAACTACCCCGCTGGGGGGTAAAAAGAAAATGAAGGAATTCCCCCTAGGCTGGCCCCCAAAACTCAGAATTAAATAAGAGGAGGGGCTGGCAGCCTCCTGAAGATTAAAACAGCTTGAGGCTAAATCTACCTTTCCAAGAGGGGAAAATTTATTCAGATAATGTTAGAGAAATCACATATGCCACAATAGGATGAAAACGGAAAGGTAGAAATCTCACATTTTTCCTTATACCTTCCTCCCCTACTGCCCAACCAGATTCCAGATGCTATATCACTGTCATTATCATTTCTGCTAAATGGAGACCCCTAGGCACTAATCACACTGGCAACTGTATGGTGACACCACGCACAACAACTTTTCCACTAAAAAGCTGTAGTCTCTTTCTCTCTGGCTATGCTGGTGATTCTCCAGTTAACTTCAACACTTTAAAGGCTGCAGAAGCATGCGAAAGAATTTCATTTTTTTTTTTTTAAAGGCAAGAAAGGTCTCCAGGAGATGATGAGTTTTACTTTGTCTTGTCTGCATAGAGGTTTAATTTGCTCTCAAATGTTCCAGGGTGGAGAGAAAATAGGAGAAAGCACAGGATGTCAAGGTTTATTCGGTGTAATCTTCTCCCTTGTTTTCATCTTCACCATCAACGGAGAGAGCAGAGTACCTGCTTGCAGAACTGAATTTGGAAGCTGGGTTTTCCTCAGGTTTCTTTGGCTCAGGTGCAGATCTGGAGTCTTGATCCTTTTTGCCGTCTTTCCTATCTGACTCCTTCCCGTGGTCTTTGTTTCCTGGGTCTCCTGGACCACAGCTAGAGTTCCCAGTGTGGTCTTTTGGGACATTCATCCCACCTACTTTATTTCATCTTTCCTTGCTGGTCTTTCCTCAGACGGTTGAGCTGGAGTTACCTTTCCCCCACCACTTGTAGGGTGTTGGTGCTCTGTGTCTGAGCTCTGAGATGGGGCAGGAGGGTTAGAACCTCACTTCACCCAAGCATTCTCCTTTGGTGGAGGGGCTGGCATTACCTTTAGGGGCTGATCAGGTTTGGGAGATTTAGAAGTTGGAGAGTGACAATCTTTCTTCTTATTGAGTGTTTCATTTTCTAGAGACTCCTCACCCTCTCTTCTTCCTGCATCCTGGTCTGACTGACTTCTGCCGGGTGTGGCGGAGGTCCCAGTCTGCGATGACTCACTTCCTGTCCTCGACCGTTCTGGTTCCTGAGTTTCTTCACTTCGCCAGCTTGAGTGTCTCTCTCCCGAGGCCGTCGTTCTAGTTTTGGCTCATTCAACTGACACTGCAACTTCTCTTGTTCCTTCTGTAGCTGTTCTTCCACTTCTCTTTCTCTAGCAGCTGTATCAACGGGCTTTGCCCCTCCAAAGACAGAAGCAGCTCGACTGGAATGTGAGGTACTAGCAGAAGAATCATCTCCCTTAGGAGTATTATGAGTCTTTAGATTCAGTTTGGGTCTTTGGGTGGGGACCGTCTATCATCACACCTATAATCATCCTGAGAGTAATTATCTCTGGAGCTGCACGACCCATCATCCCGTCTGTTGTATCGGTCTTCATAGCGCTCCCTGCTTCCTCTGTAGTCATCGTCCCTGCGGTACCCACTGCCAAATGCCCTCTGCCACTGCCTATCCAGCAATCATAGCCTCTAGCATAGTCTCTGCTGCCTCGGTCATCATAGCGATCCCTACCGCCATATCGATCCATATCCTGGCATGGGCCATCCGGATACTCATCCCAATACCCATTGCCATACCGGTCTGAATCATAACGATCTCGAAACTTGTCTCCAAAGCTATCATCACCCCTTCTAGGCGGGTGGTCATCAAAGCTGTCTGTGGCAGAACGAGCCCTCCAGTCTGTATCTGTTTTGTCAGAATCCCGATTTCTATCACGGCCAAAAGAATGATCGTCCCTGTCTTTATCCTGTGCTTGATCAGCAACGTCCACTCCAATTCTCCTGTTACCTAGAGACTCTTCACTGAGACTCAGGGCACTGAGCAGGGAATCCAGGTCCTCAAATTCAACATGACCAAAACCTTTCAACCTCTCTGGATTGCTGGGTTCACGTGGTAAACGCACTGCCCTGATACTTAATCCTCTAAAGAATTCCTTAATTGACTCTTCTGTCACATCATAGGGTAGGTTCCGTAGAAAAGCAGTGTAGGGGGGCGATTTGGGAAGAAGGCTGCAGTCGATATTGGGTTCCCGAGCAGCCCGTGGAGCAGTGGGAAGGATTGAACGGTCAATTGCAGGCGCCCTGTACACATTGTTATCATTACTGTGCCAAGTTGTTGAAACACCTCCTTCCAGGTCATCTGTTTCATCAGCCCAGCTGACTGGTTTGAAAACAAAGGTGCTTCCTCCACCAGTCCCATCCTCAGCCAGAAAGTCTGTTAGGGAGATAGTTTTTCCCTTCTTATTCTTCTTTTTTGCTGAGGCTGCCATGTTGGGAGCAGGAAAGCAACACTTTCATTTTAAAAGGCATTTTGTCTCATATTAGTATAGCTATTTTATAGTGGAATTAAAAAATATGGCAATGTCAATCTTTTAGCTGGCAAGTATTGCCTATTTACATTTTTATGATTATTGAATTGTTTCTTCCAACTGTTTAATTTCTATTTGTCCTGTTTATTCTATGCTTTTTCTCTCTATTTTCATTCTTTTTTTAAAAAAAATTATATTGAGTTAGATTTTTGGTTCTTCTAAAAAATTTGATATTTTACCTTTTGTAGGATTTGAATTTATGTAATCTTATTTCCATTCTTTGTGATTATACTTAAAATGTTATTGCATGTGTTTAAACAAAATCTAAAATTCAATAATATTCTAACCTTTCTCATGAAGAATAGAAAGATCTTAGAATACTTTAATTCTCATACGCCCTCTCAACTTATTGTCTAGTATTTTAGCTTTGTCTTTAAAAAAAAAAATCCTACATAGTAGACATTGTTATTATTCCACACAATGTGTGTGTGTGTGTGTGTGTGTGTGTGCCTGTGCATGCCTGTGTGCACATTTACATTTTATTTGCTTGCCACTCTCCTTTTTTGCATTTTAGCTTTTCCTTCTGGAATTATTTTGTTTCTTTCTGACAGTGTATCCTTTATAATATGTAGCTTCATAGAAGACCTGATGGTGGTAATCTCTCTCAAAGTCTGCTTATTTTTAAATGTTTTATTTCTCATTCTTCTTCTTCTTTTTTTTTTTTTTTTTGAGATGTTTGAGATGGAGTCTCACTCTGTCGCCCAGGCTGGAGTGCGGTGGCACAATCTCAGCTTATTGTCACCTCTGCCTTCTGGGTTTAAGCAATTCTCCTGCCTCAACCTCCTGAGTAGCTGGGATTATAGGAGTGCACTACCATGCCCAGCTAATTTTGAATTTTTAGTAGAGACAGGGTTTTACCACATTGGCCTGGTCTCGAACTCCTGACCTCAGGTGATGTGATCCACCTGCCTCGGCCTCCCAAATTGCTGGGATTGCAGGTGTGAGCCACTGCACTCGGCCTATTTCTTATTCTTTAAAGATAATTTTGAATGACATAAAACAATCATTGTTGCTACAAAATGGAGTGGTTCAGACTTAGGAGGAATAATTAAAATTACATTTAAACATTCTATCATCTTCCTGCATCCCTAACAGTTAGTTATGGTCTTGGTCCTCGGGCAAAATGACTTCCTTGGTTAAAATCAGAATGTAAAACATGGTGCCAACCGAAGAGATTGGTCTGTCTCCTAACTCAGAGAGGAGGAGCTAAAAAGCCAGTTTCATAATGTGAGGTTAGAACTTTTGCTTTTTAAATGGTCTTAAAAAATATGGCCAGGTATGGAGGCTCATGCCTGTAATCCTAGCACTTTGGAAGGCTGAAGTGGTTGGATTCCTTGAGCCCAGGAGTTTCAGATCCAGCCTGAGCAACGTCGTGAAACCCCATCTCAACAAAAATTACAAAAATTAGCCAGGCATGGTGGCAGTTGCCTCTGGTCCCAACTACTCGGAAGGCTGAGGTGGGAGGATCACCTGAGTCCGGGAGGTCAAGGCTGTGGTGATGTGTGATCCTGCCACTGCACTTCAGCCTAGGTGACAGAGTGAGACTCTATTTGAAATTTTTTTTTAACTATAAAGTTGTATATTTTTTAAAAAAATAGATAATATGTTAAATGTGTTAGTATACCTCTTCCTTTACGAATGAAAGCTTGTTATGCACAAAGGGGCCTGTGCTGGGGGTCCCCAAGAACATCCTCAGGTTTGATGATTCTTTGGGAGATTTCACAAGACTCAGCATACAGTCCCGCTTATTCATGTGGCCATGATTTGTTACGGTGAAAAGATGCAGAGCAAAATCAGCAAAGGTAAAATGCATGGGGACAGGTCAGGAGGAAACGAGACGCTTGTTCCAGCAGAGCCACACGGGATGCGCTTAACTCCTCCAGCAATGAATTGTGACAACCTACGTCAAACACTGCCAACCAGCGAAGCTCCTTAGAGACTTAGTGCCCAGGGGTGGCGGAGAGGGGGAGTGGGTTATCACCAAATTCCAGACACCCACAAAAAAAGCAGGTGTTTAGCTGTTTGTACAAACAGCTTCAGCACAGTGAACCACTCTTGGTGGTTAATGATGGTAGAAAACCCTCCCCAAACCCAAGTTCCCAGAAACCAGAGAAGGGCCATCCTTGTAAGCATGCCTTTCAAACACTAGCATGCAGCCCTGCCGTGTTAACTCATTTTCACGTAGAGCCCATAAGGAAATCATCATATAGCAACAAATTCTTTTGACATCTGAATTCTGCTGTCAGATCCTCTAGTTTGAGTGTAAATGCGACAGTGGTCAGGTAAATGGAAAGCCAGAGAAGGTGGACTTAAGTGCTCAGGAGGGAGAAGATGGAGATGGATATAATTGACTTAGAATATGGCAAAAGATTAAGAGGGCGTCGTGGCTGTTTGATTTCACCAGGAGACAGGAATGAAAACAAAGTTTAGAGATTTGTTAGAGCTAGAAGTCTTAAAATGAGTGGTTGCCTATAATGTTAGAGATTTATATCTATTAAACAAGGTTCATTGACTTCAGCACGGTTGACATTTGGGACAGGATAAGTCTGTCAGGGAGGGGCTGTGCAGTGTACTGTAGGATAGCCGCATTCCTGGCCTCTGCCCGCGAGATGTCAGTAGTATTTTCCCCTCCCTACTCACTCCCAAATGTGACAACCAGAAATGTCTACAGACGTTGCCTATTGCCAAATGTCCTCTGAGGACAGTATGAAAACATGGGATTTACAGAAAATAAATCCATGAAGATCTTAGCTTTATATGTCTGAGTTGTTCACTAATATTTCACATTTACAGTAGTTTTCCATTTATAAAACTTTTTTCATCTGATTCCAGCAGCAACTTCATGAGAGAACCAGGAATATTTTATTCCCTCTATATAGATGAAGGTCGTGAAGCACAGAGGTTAAATTACTTTGCAGGAGAGCAAAGAGAAAGTAGCAGTAGTTAGTAGCCGTAGTATTAATAGTAATAGTAATGATAATATTATAATTAATGGTAGACATTTTCTTGAGTGCCTACTATGAGCCACAAATGGTTTCAAATGATTTACACGTGTGAATTTTGCAGCAAGCCTGAATTGTGCTATTGTTATGTTTATCTTATAGATGAGAAAGTTGAGGCCAGAGAGAATAAGAAGCCTAACCCAAAGGCACACAGATGGAAGGTAGACTAGCCAAGTACAAACCCAGGCACTTTGACTCCTGAGCTCCTATAAGCACTGGATTCTGGATAAAAAGAGAGTGTTTCTGGGTTCTTGCTCTCCCCAGTCATGTTCTTTCTCATTCCCATCTCCATGGAGGTTGCCATTTGCTTATGTTGCTTCTTGCATTTTGACGAGCTCTGGTCTAGTGATTTGCATATAACTTTTCCTGTATTTTTAACAACTGAATCTCACAGAGAAAAAAAATTTGAAGTCATCTTTCTGTGACCTAACTTTGCTATTTCAGATGCAGTCTTCTATTATTATCTTGATTCTCTCTCTCTTTATTTTTAATACAGCATTTTATGGAAATCTGGATTTGTTGCAACTGTCAGCTCAGTCTTGATACACACACTTCAGCCAATTCTTGCATAGCTCATCTAAGAGACTTCTGTTTGTGATGCTAAACATTTCAGCATGTTCCCCACATCTCTCAACCAGCTCTGAATGCGTTACATGTCATATTTCCACAATTATGTTTTGTTTTCCAGGAAACTTATGAATGTGTCAATTCATCCATTCCTCCCTTTGTTTGTTTGTGTTTTTTTTTTTTTTTACTTGCTTCCTGTTTCTCTTTGAACATCCATTTCTAATGCCCTGTGTCTTCTTCCTACATTCTTACTCTTAATATGGAGGAGGAAAAAAGTGTTATTTTTCCTCTAGGCCTGGTGGAGAAATCTTCTGTTTTCCTTAAGAATTCTGTTCAAGACAATTTTTTAGGAAGACCTTTCACAACCTTTTAAATGCGGTGTTTGAAAAGGGCTTTAGAACTATTTATATGGTGCCACCGATTCGTGTTAGATGCTTGACTTCTCTCTTCTATAAGAACACGAGGACCACCAGTTTCTTCTATAAGAACACGAGGACCACCGGCCCCTCAGTTTATTTCTGTATCTGGTTTTCTTTTCCTTTTCTTTTTTGCTGGAGAGGTGGAGTTGTGGGTGAGTGGAAGTCGAGATTGTGACTTCAGAGTAGAGTGTTGTTGGATTAGGTTAGATGGACATTACTACATGGACATAATGTTGAGAAATCCAGTGTTTGATGGGATTTTCAGATGTGTTGAGTTTGAAATTAATTAGGTTCCTATAGATACTATAATTTTTATTTCCAATATAAGGCAGTATGAGTTGCCATCTCTGTAATTACACTTATTTCTTCTGAGTCTTATGGTCTCAACTCATGAGGCCATCCCACTCTCTCTCAACAGTTAAGCCTTCTTTTGTTTTTTGAAGATCTTATTCTCTTGAATTTTGCTTGTTCTGAATATAATGTGAATCCCCCAATCCTCTTTAATTCATTTTAGTACTCATGACCCCTGGTAGTTTCAGGTATAAATTCCTTCTTTCCCTCAGCATTTATTATTTTGGTTACTAATACTAAATTGAACTTTTTCTCTCCTACATCAAAATTTTGTATACCTTCTTCCTGTTATGCACTTTAGAGAAAGTTATGCTACATATTGATTAACCCACTATTAAAAAAATCATTAAATCTTAGGATTTAAAAAGATAATTGGAAAAGGTACAAAGCATTGTCATCTGTTTCTAGTCCTAGATATCAATGTACATTTGCATAGTCTGTTAGTAAGTTTGCACTTTGATCATGAGGTTAGCGGGATATTTTTCTAAAAGACAGCAAAAGCTTTTCAATTTTTTTTTTCCCCAGAGTATTTTTTCCAGATAGAACTTTGTTTGGTGCTCATACCAAACATATCAAAGTAGTGTTTTATTTATATGCATATATTTTATAAGTTCAAATCTATCACCCTTTCGCGTTGTAAAGTCAAATGGTGACAACAATTTGATTATTTTCCTGAAATGATGCTTCAAACTTAGTG